TAAAGGACAAGGTAAAAAACATAAAAAAAAAAAAAAAATCACACAAATCCAAGATGGAGGACATTCTACAAGTTAACTGGGCAAGATTTTTCAAAAAGGGGACACAGAGTTGGGAAAACAATAAGCAAACTACTCTAGATTACAATAAAGAGGCATAACAACCAAAGGGAACAAGTGAACTTCAATTGTCTTGTTTCAATATAAAACACCTATAAAAGACACTTTCATAAAAATTGAGGAAATCTGAATTATTTACTGGCTATGAGATGATATTATAACAATATTATTAATTTTATTCAGTGTGATGATGAAGGAGAATGTCTGTATTCTTAGAGGTGCATGCTGAAGTATGGGTAAAATGTCATGATACCTACACATCATTTTCAAATTATAGAAGAAACAGCAAAGAATAGAATAGAATAGAAGGCATAGCAAAAACAATACATACAGCACACAAAAATAGGTGAAACAGAATATAATCTTAATAATAACTGAAACTATGTGGAGGGATTTGGGAGTTCATGATAATCTTTCAATTTCTCCACATATTTAAAATTTTCAAAATAAATGTTGAAAAAGAAAAAGAACTGGAAAAAAAATTTTAAAACAAGGAATGAATTAGAGCCATCTCAAAAGGTTTAAAGGAATTTTCAGTGTCTTGCTAATACAATATAGCTGTGAAATACAGAAGCGTATTACAGAAGTGTATTATGATTCCATTTTTTAAAAGAAATGACTAAAAAACTACATACATGTCTATGTACAGACACATAGATATACTTGCATATAATAATAAGTATGGAGAAAAGTATGTAAGACTATTCAGCAGGTTTTAACATGAGTTACCATGTTCACTGCGAGAAGGGGATTAGTAAAAAAAGAAAATGAAGAATTTAGCTAAAAAAAAAATATTTTAAAATGGATCCTTCTCCCAAAAAGCCTACCACTGGTTTTAGTAAATATGTTTGTGTGTGTATATATATATATAAATAAGAGGAATCACAGAGGACATCGCGAGACTCCTGGGGCTATTTCATGACAGATTTTTGAATGAAAAGAAAAATATAGCAAACTATTATTGTATGAAGTAATTTTACTTCGGTAAAAATAAAGTCCCTGTGTTGTAATCAAAGAGTGAGATATGAAGGGATACCCACAAGACAATAAATGTTAATTATATCAGGAAAAATGTAGAGAGATGGTGTTTTTATACATTTTTGTACTGTATCATTTCAATTGTTTCAACATGCATTTATTAATAACCCAAAAAAGAAAAAAATGTTAATTTAAGAACATTAAAAAGCAGTGTGCACAACAATATCTATATACATAAAGCAGTATCTTAATTGCATAAACTAAGGTATAGGATTAGTATTAGATTTACATATTATGCTAGATACATCAATAGTGTTTTCACATATGCCAAAGACCTGCAGAATGGGTGTCCTTCACTCACCAGTCACAACTCGACTGAAGTAGAGATTAGCACCTAACAAAAAAACCAGATAATCACAGCAATGCCAATGACCTCTGACATATCCCTATACTTAAAAAAAAAAAGAGAGCTGGATTAATCGAATGTATTCTCTCAGGAATGTTACCAACAAATAATTAAAAAACAAAGCAGAACAACTGAGCACTAAGGCATAAAGAATGCATACTTGTGCTAAGCATTCAGGTCAGGACCTGAAGAATATGGACAATCTCAAATTATGAAGAAATCACACATAAATAAGTAAGAACTATAAAGGTGATAAAATACAGAGAGAGTGAATGGGATAAATAAGATAGTTGGGAATATAACAGAACATCCAGAGTGACCCTTATGAGACTGAGAAATCATATTAATTATAGTTATTTCAAAGAAAAAATTAAAAATTACAGATCCAAAAAGTATGAGAATGAATTAAAACATGCAGCAAGTTTCTCTTATGTTTCTAACAAAAGGATAAGAATTAAAGATCAGTTTTTCTATTCACATCCTAAAGATTCCTGAAATCTTCAATTAAATATAATGCTCTTCATTTCCACCCAATCCTTGGTTCAAAAACCTCCCAGGCAACATGGGCAACTTTAGTCAATGGACCCAGAAATTCAGAAAAGATCACGCTTCTGTGGTGAAAAAAATAAGGTTATTCAGTAGGTTAAGATGAGTGAGAGAAGGAAAGCAAATAAAAATGTGCAAGTCCTAAGGCTCTCTTTTCCTCAACCAACCAATATTATTTGAATGCCTCGAGAAACAAGTATGCCAACAGAAAATGTGCTTCAACAACAAAATCACTAAAGGTACAGTATATCTCAAAAGGAGAAGATAAGAGACTTGACTGTCTAGACTGAACAATGCTACAAAGTAAAAGCAATTTATATAACAGTAAGTATAATGTAGATGTTTTATGTTCCACTATACATCCCAAACTCACTCTTATGCAACCAAATATCAAAAAACATAAAAAGACTATATAGAAGGAAAAAGTATATACAATTGGAAAAAATGTAAATATTATCAGTATATTATTCTCTGTGCCTACTCTACATGAAAAGGACTTAGAAAGAACAAATAGCAGCATTATTTGCAGATGCTGAATCATTTAACCAAATATTTCTCAAAATACATCCCACAGAAGTTGTCTGTCAAGATACCTGTTAAAAAGAACATCAAATCACTACAGGAAACACTGACATGCCCCATTTTGAAATTTTACAATGTATATTAACATATCAAAGTCTTAAGTTCCACCAAAAAAAACCTGCTTAACTTTATTAGTCCAGCATTTTTCAAATCAATTTGATCTGGAAACTCTATTTTCTTCTAAATATCTATCCATAAAAGGAATTTTTTTCTGTACTTCAATGGATGCAAAGAAACTAATGTTTTATGCAATACATTCTAAAAATAGACTGATATCAACCCATGATGAAGCATTATAATACATTCACCTAAAATTAGAATACCTAGACCAGAGATAATAAATAGGTTTCCCTTCGCATTCAAATCTTGGTAAACCCATAATGAGCTAAATTAAAAAGGATTCCAGAAAAGCAATGAGACTTGGCAAGCAGCATATTGGCCATCTTTCACACAGAACATATTCTTTCTGAATGGTTCTCAGCGAAAAGAGGGCAAGGCAATATACTATAAATCTAGGTTCTAGAACCAGATACTCCAAGTTGAAGTTGAAACTATTACTTTACTACTCTGGGAAAGTTGTTTAGCTTCTTAGGACTAATGTTCTTCCTCTGTAAAATGAGGGTATTATAGTACTTAAGTCACACAATTGTAAGAGATAATGAGGAAGTATGTGTCAAGGACTAGGAAAAGTGGTATACTGCAAATAATGTATTTTAGTTATTTTCTGAAGCTTTTATCCAAAGTTCTTTGGGGAAAAAACACCACACGTTTTTACTGACGAAATTTAGCTGACTATATCTGACATGTTTTCATTAAGGTAGATATACTACAGATGTCTATCATGACCTGCTGTGTCCATATTCCTGCTAAACCAAACATACTTCCTTTGCATTCCTGAATTCCTCTTCTATCCCCCAATCTTATCCAAGTCAGTCTAGGCAAAGCTAACTTCACAGAAGCTAATACCTATCCCAAAGTCAGATAATTCATGAGCTTGCCATTATGCATCACTTGTGGCTTGACTTAAGATGCACTGGGCCAATCAAACTTTTTGCTCAGACATTTGGGAACCTAAGAAACAAAACCAACTGGGGGTGAACACTGAAATCAGAATGTCACTAAGACTTAGGGTCCTGAAACGGTTATTTTAAGTCATGTTCAACTTCATCAAAAAGAGAAAGTAAATAAAAAAAAGAATACTGCAAATATGTGAAAAACAGCAAACATACCAAAAAGAACAGATGACAGGGAAACAGGAAAATGGTTGACTTCCCAAAATATCTTCGTCCCTGCTCTTCCTAAGGTCTGGCTAGTCCCCATTTCTTGAGTTTCTATAATGTACCCTCTGCTTTTCTTTCTTTTTTTTTTTTGAGTCAGAATCTCACTCTGTCGCCCAGGCTGGAGTGCAGTGGCACACTCACAGCTACCACAGCCTCAACCTGCTCGGTTCAGGCAATTCTTCATCCTCAGCCTTCCAAGTAGCTGGAACTATAGGCATGGGCTACTAAGCCCACTCAGTTGTGTTTTTTTTACTATAGAAACAAAGTCTTACCAAGTTGCCCAGGCTGATCTTGAACCACTGGACTCAGGCAATCCCCTCGCCTCCACCTTCCAAAGTGATGGGATTACACGCTGAGCCATCAAGACTGCTCTAATATGTACTCTTAATGTATCACTTCTTACTCAGAAGTTACTTGAGTGAATTTGTTCTTTGTAAGAAGAAAAAAAAAACCCACCATAACTGTAACATTAAAAACCTGACTCACCAATTATATAAAATCAAAATTAAATTATCCTGCAGATCACTCAAGTCACTGAAGCATATGAATTTGAGAATCAAACTAGTAAAAAAAAAAAAAACTCTTTTTATTTTTTATAACAAAAAGTCTAGTTAACATCTCTGGAATCAGTATACATTCAGATCAAATATTTACACTGGCAGCTATAATACATAATACAACAAAAGATGGTATTGCTGGGCACTGTGGTACATGCCTGTAATCTCAGTACTCTGGGAGGTCAAGATGGAAGAATTACTTGAGCTCAGTTGTTTAAGACCAGCCTGTGTAACACAGTAAGATCTTATCTCTACAAAAAAATTAAAAATTGGCTAGGCATTGTGGCACAAGCCTGTAGTCCCAGCTACTCAGAAGACTGAGGTGGAAGGATCACTTTACCTAAAGCCGTGAACCATGATTGTGCCTGGGCAAACTTGACTCCAAAAAAAGGGAATATATTTTTTAAAAATTTTAATCAAACACATTTAAAATATAAAAATCTAGCACTCAAAGAATTGCTAATCAGCCATCTGGGAGTCCTCACTTTCCAGAATAAGTGGGAATCTAGATAACAAAAATTTTACTGCATCTAGAAATAACTCACAAAAGTAGATCTTTTCAATCACTTGCCTATGAATTGTTTTTTTTTAAGTTAAATAAGCAAGTATTGAGTTTCTACAATTATCTTCCACACAAAAGGCTCAACTTACGAGTTTAGATATACAAGATATTCCATATTAAAATCTTATAAAATTTTTAATACTAAAAGTATTACACTGATTAATAAACATTAATATTTGGAAATAAGTCTTCTGGAATTATAGATTCTTGCTTGATAAAATAACCAAGTAAGAGGAAAAAAATGAAGGTGCCCCCCCTACCCCCAAACCAAAAACTATCTTTTGGAGGGCAGGCCCCTTGTAGTACACTTGGAATTTGTTTCTCTGGATCAGTCAGCCAGCCAAAGTTTTTATCTGGTAGTCTTGAGAAGGTTGTGTCACGACATGCAAAAGAAACATCCACGTTGTGGCAAACAGGTGACTGGTTCTCCCACCATGACAACACACCTACTCATACCGCCCTGAGTGTTCAACAGTTTTTGACCAAAAATGGCATAACCGCAGTGCCCCACTCTCCCTATTCACCCAATTTTGCTTGAGAGACTTTTTCTGTTTCCCTGGATGACAAAAGTCCTCAACAGAAAACGTTTTCCTCATGTGGAAGAGGTGCAACAAAAATGGCAGAAGCACGAAAGGCAACAAAACTGACAAATTCAGAAACTGTTACGAGCAGTGGAAAACATGTCTTCCTAGGTGTACTGCATCAGAGAGTACTGTAAAGGTGACTGAAGTTAAAACATGTAAGAATAAGTACACTATTCTAGTTTTTTTTGGAGGGGGTCCTCCCTTGCTGTTTCAAAAGACATAAAGATTAGTACAGGATTTCCTCTAACACTTTTAAAAAAGGACTGTGGAAAATGAGAAAATATTTATTAATTTTAATATACTGAATTATAAGCTCAATTAGAAAATAACCAAATTAATTTTTTTAAATTCAACAGACAAAACTGATACTGAAATATTAACTGACTATATATAGGTGAAACATAAAAAACAAAATATTTACTAACCTTTATTTCCTAACATCACAGCAAGATGTAAAGGAGTGTTTCCTAAAATTAAAAAAAAAAAAAATTAAATTAGAAGGGGTAAAAACATAAGAAAATTTACTTAAAAGTGGTTTCAGCTCCTTCAGAAATTTCACTGATGAATTTAAGAAAAATAATATTGCTTACATGGCAAATTCAAAGTCAGAAGATACCATGGTTTCTTAAACTGCAATGTATTCCCCCTACTCCAAAAAGAATATTCATTTTGCTTTTCAGATTTCTTTTCCAAACAAATTTCATAGGCTCCTTTTGCTGCTAATTTCTCTATCACATCATTCTTTGTTCATTTAGCAAATAACTACTTATTCTAGGAAACAAAAATCAGTAAAACCCAATCCTCAAATAGTTCAGAAATCGGTTAAACATTGATATGAAAATAAATATTATTTATTAGGATAAAAGAGGGTATAGCATGACAATGGAACACAGGGCAGAACTTTGCTTGTGCAGAGAGTTAACTAACGAAGAATGGAACACAACGAAAATAATCTTAATGAGTTAGAAATTTCTAGGTGTCGGGTGCAGTGGCTCGTGCCTGAAATCCCAGGATTTTGGGAGGCTGAGGTGAAAGGACTGCTTGAGCCCAGGGCAACACAGCAAGATCTCATTCTACCAAAAAAAATTTTTTAAAAATTAGCCAGGCATGGTGTCACACACCTGTAGTCCCAGCTACCTGGGACGCTGAGGCGGAAGGATTGCCTGAGCCCAGTAAGTCGAGGTTGCGGTGAGTCATGAATGTGTCACTGCAATCCAGCCTGGGAACAGAATAAGATCCTGACACACACACACACACACACACACACACACACACACACACACACACACACACTAAGAGGAAGGGAGGGAAGAAGATTAGTAGGTGAACAAAAGCAATACCAACTAGCATGCCAGGTTATTTTTAAAAGTTCTCCAAATCACATTCAAAAATAAGAACAGTTTATATTTGGGAACCAAAAAAAAACTTATAATTAGTGAAGGTAAAGAGTTTACAGAAGAACATTAAAAAATGAAATGGGAAAGATGAGCAAAGGACAAAGAAGACTTGAATGCTATGATATGGAGTTTGGACTACAACCTATAACTGATGTTACAGAATGACAAATTTAATTTCAAAATGATAGACCAAGTCATACTGATAGCCTAAAAAGCTCTTGGTTTTAAAAGAAAGTACACCGGCCGGGCGTGGTGGTTCAGCCTTTAACCCCAGCACTTTGGGAGGTCAAGGCAAGAGGATTGCCTGAGCCCAGGGGTTTGAGGCCAGCCCGGGCAACTTGGTGAGACCTCATCTCTACAATAAACCAAAAATTAAGCCAGGCATGCAATACCATGTACTTGGTACTTGGAAAGCTGAGGTGGAAGGATGCCTAAGCCCAGCAGGTCGAGGCTGCGGTGGCCATGAGCAAGCCACAGCACTCCAGCCTGGGCGACAGAGTGAGACTCCAAGTCAAAAAATAAATAAATAAATGAAAGAAAGCACACCATCAGTAGTACTTGAAAATAAATGATAAATAAAATTTGTATATATTAATCTTCAGATATCAGCAATTTTACAGAAGTCATCACATCAACAATTGTATCCAAAAACAAAAAAAATGAGGTAAACACTATCAAGGGATCATATCCAGGATAAAATAACTACTTTTTCAAAGAAATGTGTATATAATCTCAATCTCTTAGCTTGACAGAAATGTGTCAAGATTATTAAAACAGACACACATTTTGGAATGGGAATTGTTGGCAACGTCTGCAGGTACTATTTTGAGTAAAACTTGGAAAACAATGAAAATATATTCAATAAATTAAAATTGTCTAACTTTCCCAAAACAAAACAAAACCTTAGGTTTCAGTAAAACTCTTTATCTTAACTATGTTTGTTTTTGTTTTTGAGTTGGGTCTCACTCTGTACCCAGGCTGGAATACAGTGGCATGATCAGGGCTCACCACAGCTTTGACTACCTTCCACCTCAGCCTCCTGAATACCTGAGACTACAGGTGTATGCCACCATGCTCAGCTTTTTTAAAAAAATTTTTCATAGATAGGAGGTTTTGTTGTGCTGCCAAAGCTGGTCTCGAACTCCTAGGCTCAAGCAATCCTCCTGCCTGAGTCTCCCAAAGTGCTGGGGTTTATAGGCATGAGCCACCATGCCCAGCCTAATCTTAACTATTAAGAAAAAAGAGACAGAGAGAGAGACAGAGAGAGAGAGAGAGAGAGAGAGAGAGAGAGAGAGAGAGAGAGAGAGAGAGATTTGGAGATATAATTCACATTATGTTTTTCAGAAATAAGAATTAGAGATACAGGGGCAACCCCTTCGGGTCCCCTCCCACTGTGGGAGCTTTTCTGTCCTCTCAATAAATCCTACTCTCCCACAAAAAAAGAAGAAGAAGAAGAAAAAAAAAAGAATCGGAGGTACCCATTAGTACTTAGTTTAAAATAGAATATTCAGTGAAAAAGCATTTTTCATTACAGATACATTTTTGTCTTCAATTTTTTTCTTTTTATTATTTTGTATTATAAAGATGTGGGGAACAATTCAGGGTTAGGTATACAAACATTGATTATGCAGGTACCGTTGTTGATGAGGTGTGCCCCTCCCACCCCTAGCAGTTTTTTTCAACTGCATTATAGATATTTTTATATATGAAGTGAGTAAAACTGATTTCTCTTTCCACATTGAAACTATATACCTATTTCATGAAGACACTAAAGAAACCAACCCTCTCCACAAAATACTCTATGTGTGCAATTTTTCAATTTTCCCCAAAAGACCTATGGAGACTCTCAACTGAGCTCTCAGTAAAGCGCATTTTTTCCTACTACTAACATTATGGTTAGTTCAAACATTAAATGAAAATGTTTAGGAACAACTTTTTAAAAAGTCATCCTCTGATACATTAGGAACAATCTGTGGGTTAGCTTAATAAACTATTCAGTGCTATTAAAGCCTTCAGCATGATACAAGGCTTTTTTAAAAAAAAATCAATGCAAATAGTATCAATTTCCAATTTGATTGGCCTAGAATAAGGCTCTCTTCCTTCTTTTTAAAATTTAGAACTAAACTTCCTAGGTTAGCATTACTTTCTTTTTTTTTATTTTTTATTTTAAAGATGTGGGGTATAATTCAGGGTTAGGTATATAAACGTTGATTATGCAGGTACCCTTGCAGATGAGTTGTGCCCCTCCCTGCCCTAGCAATTTCCCTCAACTGCCAATCCCACCCACCCTTCCCTGGCAGTTTCCCACTACTGCCAATCCCTTTCTTATAGTATTATAATTGTTCAAGGTCCGCTTATGAGTGAGAACATATGGTACTCTGTTTCTGTAATAGATCACTGAGTATGATCGACTCTAAATCCATCCAAGTTGCTGCAAGGACCATATGTTTGTCCTCCTTTATTGCTGCATAATATTCCCTTGTGTATATGTACCACACTTTTTAAATCCAGTCCAGCTTCGATAGGCAGCATGGTTGCCATGTTTTTGCTATTGTGAATAGAACTGCAACAAACATAGATGTGCAGGTATCTTTTTTGCAGTATGATTTGAGTTCTTCCAGGTATATTCCCAATAGGGAAATTGCTGGGTCTCATGGAAGGTCAACTTCTAGTTCTTTCAGAAATCGCCACAATGTCTTCCAAATTTGCATTTAACTTCCTATGATAATTTACCAAGACTAAAAAGCAGTCATAAAAAGTAGACAAACTTTTTGACAAATTATTGCCGGAAACAAAAGCTCAACACCAACTATGCCAAAATCTAAGCCTTTACTTTGGGTTATCATTCTTAATTCCTGTAGCCTCTTTTCCAGTTTGAGCTGTCATTTTATCTAAGTATCTACAGCAACAATCTTCTAGCAGTCTCCCTAGCAGTCTTACCCAATTTCAATCTCATCTCTAAAGCTGTACTGGAATAATTTTAAAACAATAACTTGACCATGTTACACTTAAGATTAGAAATGCTCTGTATGTCATCTTTAACATGGGATAAAAGGTTCTTGATGGCAAGTCCTTACTTTCCTTTCATGTCCTATTTTCTTCTTCACCCTTTCTCTCATCTAAACTACCTACAACAAATTCTCTAGTACGCCAAGTACTCATGCTTTTATACACAATGTTAACCCTTCCTAAATATTCCTTCTCCATCTGCCTGGCATATTAATATTTACTTTCATGCTGTGAGCTCAAAATGTTCAGTGAAGCCTTCTTTAGCTTATCCTAGTCAATCAGATATCCATCCCTCTGCTCTGAACTCAAATCCCTCTATACCTATTTGCTACAGCACTTTTTTTCACACTAAACTGTATTCACATTTTTATGTGTAAATATCTGTCTCCGTCATTAGGTGTTAACCTCAGGATTACTAGGTACATATTTTCTTCATCTATCCATAGTATACCAAATACCTCACATACAGCATCTTTTGACAAAGACTGCTGATAAACATTTGTAAAGAAAAAAATGAGAGAAAACTCCTAGTACAGTAACTAACCTAATTAATATCAATAGTTTCCAGATCTTGATAATTAAAATGCACCAGGTATTATCTTAGGCAAGAGTTGCAAAACTCTAAAGTTTTCCATAATTAGATAAAGTGTTTGAAAGTGTTTTGGTGTTGCTTTCCCTAAATATTTAGAAGAATATATGTGTAGTGCCATTTGGGCCTAATCCCCTTTGAAAGAACATTTTTATCATGGATTCATTGTCTTTAATAATTACAGCATACTTACATTTGCTAAGTCCTTCTTAATGTTCATTTGGATGAAATGAATTTTTCTAGGATTGTTCCTTTTCATTACTTGGTATATACTTTATTCACAATATCCTTTTATATTAACATTAGAATTTATACTGATGTGCCACTTTTCATTCCTGATACCGGTTATTTGTGCTTTCTCTCTTTTTGTCTTATCAGAGGTATACTCATTTTATTCATCTTTTCAAAGAACACAGTTTCTCTACTTTACGTTTGTTTTCCTAATTCAATAATTCCAGTTCTGGGGAGAAGT